GAATAAGTCCCCACAACAATTTTGTAAGTTGATAGAGTGAAAAATGCATAAACGGTACGCCGGTACGCCTCATAGACGCTTTGCTGCCACGCAACCAACATCAGTCGCGTGTGGGCTAAGGATACAGCGAGGGTCACCCGGTCCTCCAAGCAGGCTCGAACTGGTGACATGGTTTCGGCCACTGGCCGGCTTTATTCATACTCCAAGTGTTCGGATCATCCACTGCGCATCGAATAGCTTATCGGTGCAGGATAGAGCAAATAATATTAAGCTTATGTGTGGAAAAGCTAAGTGCATGAGGTTGCATCCCAAGAGGATGATAGGTAATGCGAATGACACGTACCCGAATAACTGTCGAGCGAAGGCCAAAATGAGTGAGGTTTTACCTGTTCCAGGAGGTCCATAAAACAGGAGATTGGGTAACTGAAAAAGATGGTTAAGAGCAGTGTCGTATGTGACATACGTCGTTATCCTGCAAACACTTTTTAAGGACAGAAGTTACTTCAGTTTGGTAAGCAACTTCATCTAGTGTCCTTGGTCGACTAAAAGAATGAAATATGACGGTGAAAACTTCAAGCGACTTACTGTTTTTCCACCCAAGGTATTTGGACGCGTGATTTAGACTTCGCGGCTGCTGGGACCTCAGGTTTGCGACCGAAAGCAGCTAAAAAGGTCTCCATAATGAGGGAGCTGAAAACAGAAAGGACCGTCAAAAGAGAAGCACCGAGAAAACACGCTGAATTTGAGGATACACCATGGGCGAGAGATGGCCGGGCAACGTTCCAATCGAAATAGTCTATCAGGAAATAAGAACTCAAGAGAAAAATCATTAGTAGATACCATTAATAGATAAAGATAGATAGATAAAGATAGATGATAGATATCATTAATAGGTAAAGTATAATGCAGGCCAAGATTTATTGAAAGAGGGAATAAAGTGAATAAAAGGAATAACTGTATTCAACTATGATAAAGTGGCGCAAAAGTCTATTACAGAGTAATGTGAGCGTGACTGACTTAAGGTTGCCTTTTTGCATAAGACTGTTGAAAGATAGATGCTGCAGCGAACAAGGTGCGCAACAGATCAATTCAACTCAGTCAGGGTCCAACTCACTTCACAGAAGAATTGGTTAAGGTACCGATTGCATTTACTTCCAAGAATTGGAAGTGGAACAAAGAAAACTGGACCCGTGGCAATTAGGTTGGATCTCATGGTTGCCCAGTGGTTTGTGTAAACCTCAAACCCGGTGAGTTATTTCGGGCGGTGCGAAGAGCGTTTCACATGTTAATCCTAACAAACCTAATGAGTGAAAGCAAAAACAACTTCAGCCCTTTGATCTTCAATGTTGGTCGAAAACAGTGGTACCCAATTCATAGAAACGGTTCATTTAGTGAGGCATTGCTAAGTACCCGCTATCATGTTGACAAACTATGGAGCTAAGTGCTTTTTACGAGCGCCCTAGTAGTTCCCCTCTTATGGGTCTGGGGGTCCCAAAGGTGCTCACAGTCGTAAACAATCATAAACTATCGGAAAATCAAACATCATTCGACATTCAGCATAACGCATTTGAAATGGACCCACTTAGTTTACAACATACGGCAAGACAGGTAGGCTAGAACAGACCGTCGTTGAGATCACGTAGTTCTCTTCTATCAAATTCTCCTATACTCACTCCGATTCTATAGCTAACCTGTTATGGCAATGGCGTGCGTTTGTCCTGCATTTGCTAGATTTGCGTTCTTTTTCTATACATAATGTCTTTTGGCTTACAGCTCACATACTCTGATTCTCAGATAAGTAAATCCTTATGAATCGGGCCTTCTTCTCTGTCTGAAGCAACGCGCCCGTTTGCTACTCAGTCGCATCAATTTACTCATCTAAAGAGCTATCATGGAACGTTTCCTTCGCTCTGATCGCTGCGATATTGATCCTGACAGTCCCAATGCTGCCTCCCTATGGAAACACAGGATATATACGTTGGAGAGTATTTTGTCAGCAATCGAAGCATAACGGCCAGTCAAACTTAAAACGAGTTCATTATATTTCTGCAGCGAACATTGAATGAATCGATGAATGCACATCTTACGATGCAGACATATCGACTCTACCCTTTACGTACGCCCTAAAAATGAGATATACGCACGGCATCTCTTGTGTACCGGGAAACAAGATTCCGGACAATCACTCGATCAGTTCCTGCAGAAGCTAAAAATACTTGCGAAGGACTGCAATTTTCAGAACGTTACTGACGAAACCCACCAGAACGAGGCCATTCATCAGTGGGATGACATCAAGTGAAATTCGACAAAGACTGTTAGAAAATAAATCACTTGCTTGTGAGACCGCGTTTAACAAAGCCAGACCATTGGAACTGGAACATGCGCATTCCGCGGCGTACTCAAAGCCAGATCCAATTTTGTACAGTGTGGGTCCAAGAGCGCACACCACCAATTCCAACTTGTTCCCAAAACCAGTTTCTGATGAGACGGTAATTGTTGCTGACAACTCAACTGACATCCACATTCAAAATGTCCTGCCAAGGACGTAACATGTACTTGTATGTGCTGACCTGCGGATGCACTTTGGCGGATGCCCATGACGACGTTGTGACCGCACTGACACCAGCCAACTGGCGAAGCCGGCTGTTCTGAATGCCTCTCAAAGTACGCTGTCATGCGAGTGGGATAAGCGCTCACTAGATGCAATTGAAGTTCACTGGTCTCATATTCACCAGACCTTACTAGCAGCAGGAAAATCCTTATATGGTAAGTCTAATCGTCAACATGGACATCGGGTCTCTTCGCAATCTCTGGAACTTATCGATGCTCGCCGGCATACTCCGAATGGAAGCGAACACAATGAAACTCACACAGAGCTCCGGGCGAAACTCCGTGCTAGCCTGAAGAGAGACTGCGAATCTTGGTGGTCTCATTCTGCTTCAGAGGTGGAAATGGACGCTGTTCTTGGTAAGCATCGTAAGTTATTCCGGCTGATTCGGGAAACGCGCAGCAGGAGACCTGGTGTTAGTGAAACTATACGTGACGAGAGTGGACAGCCTATCCACAACTTGTCAAAACGCTTGGAGCTTTGCACTGAGCACTTTGAAAGGCAATTTAATCGGTCGGAATTGTTAGATTTCTCGCCGGCCACTGATCGCTTCGCTGCGTGGCTTGCCCCTTTGGATCCGCCCACTCGCTTAGAAGTCGAACGTGAGATCGGACTGTTCAAGTTAAATAAAGCCGCGGGATCAGCTGATCTTCCTCCAGCCCTCTTCAAATTCGAGGGACCTGTTCTTGTGGATGATTTATACGAGTTACTAGTCAAACTGTAGGAGCAGGAAAGTGTCCCAACCGACTGCAGTCGCACCGTCATTGTTCCAATTTTCAAGGCAGGCTCACGATCGGAATCAGTCTGATCTCCATCGCCTCCAAATTGCTTGCCTCTGTCATCCTTCACAGACTGACTGGCACTCGTGAAAGCCAGATTCGTGAAGAGCAAGCCGGGTTTCGTCGCGGTCGCGGAAGCATTGACCACATCTTCATTTTGCATCAGTTGTTGGAGCACCGTCACATATATTGGCGGCCCACCGTTGTGTAGTTACTCGATATCAAAGGTGCATTCGATTCGATGGATAGACATGCACTTTGGGACTGTCTACTCAGGAAAGGTGTACCTGAGAAAAATGTAAATATTATCCGAGCATTATATGCGCGCAGCTCGGGCAGAGTTATGGCTTACGGCAAGCTGTCGTCGCCCTTTAATATTTCCAGCGGCGTTAGACAAGAATGTCCGCTGTCACCTTTCCTTTTCAACTTCGCTATTGATGAAGTCATGGAAATCGCGTTTACAGGACACGACTTAGAAGGTGTGGATCAGCTCCCAGGAGCACGGATTCTCGACAGGGTATGCTGATGATATTGCACTAATCGGTGACAGCTCACAAACGTGCCAAGCGGCAGTGGACAGATTGGCACTGGCTGTCCGTCACTTCGGGTATTGCTTCGCACCCTTGAAGTGCAAAGCATTCCTCCAAGATTGGCCTGGACCGCCTCCCACACTGACCCTTGGTGGGGATCAGCTAGAAGTCGCTCAAAAATTCAACTACCCCGGAAGTTATATCAGCGCCCGTGGTATTGAAGATGTGACCACCAACCGTATAGCAAAAGCTCGAGGCGCTTTTGCGAACTTTCGCCACGTATGGCGTCGGCGCGACATCACTATCGCCCTGAAGGGTAGAGTGTACAGTGCAGCACTACGTTCGACCCTACTGTATGGTTGTGAAACCTGGCCCCTTAGATCAACGGACCTAAAGAGGCTAGTTACGTTCGACCACCGGTGCCTTCGCAATTTAGCACACATCTGGTGGGAACATCGAGTTAGCAACGAGCGTGTTCGACGCCTTGTTTATGGCACAGGAAAAGGAAATGAACCACTCAGCACCGTTATTTCACGCACCAGGCTCCGATGGTTCGGCCACGTGTTACGCATGTCAGCCCACCGACTCCCGCGACGGGCGTTGTTTGCGAGCCGGGGTGTGGATGGAAGAGGAGGAGTGGCCAAGCAAAGACTTGGTCGAGAGGAATGAAGACCCTCACTTCGGAGCTGGCCTCGGTTGGAGCTTACCGGCTTCCTTATTGGAGTCCGAAAGACGATGAACACGTTTGGCTGAATACACTTGCTGATATGGCAAGGAGCCGACCTCAGTGGCGTTCGTGCTGTGAGTTTCTTTGTCGTACCCCTCCCTCAGCCTCCTCATCCAACCAGGATTTCACTATTTAACCTTATATACTTTTGCACAGTAACTTTTTTTGCTGCATAGTAGCCGGCTGGTAGCTTACCGGAATGATGCCCATTAGTTACGGGTAGTTCAGCTGGCTTGCACCTGTTGCACTTTTTCTCCTTCTTTTCTGTAGTGCGGCACAGTAGCTGAGGTGTTTCCCACGTCCAGCTAATGTGTATAATGATGATATACCATTTTCCCTTTAAACTGGACATTTTGCAAACCAAACTGGACATTTTGCAAACCAAAGTGGACATTTTGCAAACCACATTGGACATTTTGCAAACCAAACTGGACATTTTGCAAACCAAACTGGACATTTTGCAAAACAAATTGGACACGTTGCAATCTAAGTAGCAACTCGCCAATTTGTTGGTAAGAAACGAGCAGTAAGACTGCTGAATGATGTTCAGAATATACATTGTGATGACGCTAATACACCGGCATTGTGTAAGCAGGGGGCTACACTGTAAAACATTTGCTTGATCGTGAGCAGCGACCGAAGTTCTGAACTACACTCCCCTCTCCCCATTGACATTCGCCTAGTTGGTGTGCAGTGCCCATACGCATCAACCTGTGTAGGTGTGTGACAGTTGGAAAATCGGACTTCCGAATCGTAATTGTGTATCAAGCATTTTGTGAGTGGATTGCGATGCGCAATCTCAATGTGCACCGTTATTCTCATTAGAGAGAACCTTGTCCGATTCGGTCAATGGGACCATGTCGGATGAAGCAGGTAGGCGGTGTCCCAGCTTCACCCGTCTCTCTATTAGCTTTCGCAACTGCCACGTTATTGTATCAGCGTAGGCTGTAATGACCCCCAGCAAAACCAGCCTGGAGCTATAGCCTATTGTTGCAACATATCAACTACTGAGGAGTGGGCCGATTACACGATGTTC